TCCAGGATCCAATTGACGATACTGTTGGGGACTCCAACCACCCTAAGTTTAGCCGCCAAAGTTCCGTGATCAATGAAATCAAAAGCCTTGCGGTAATCTAAAAGAAAAACACGCACAGATGCACTATTTCTGTGTGTTGCTTGGAGCCACTCATGGATCATACTTAACAGAGCGAGGGCAGTAGACGAGCCTGATACAGTGCCAAACTGATTTAAGTCAGCTATCTTTTCTAAGGCTGGTCTTATGTAATTTGATATTACGAAGTCCTCAGCGACCTTGGAAAGCGATACGGTTAGCGAGATCGGTCTAAGTTCTTTTTTGGGATCTGCGACTTGTTTTACTTTAGGAAGTGGAGTGACATCCGCATGCTTCCAAACTGATTGTAATTTCTGCTCTTTGTATGATGAGTTAAGTATGTCAGCTATTGGTTGATATAGCAGCTCCGCATATTCCTTTAAGCACCAGTTGCACAGGCCGACGGGGCCTAGGGCCTTGTGTTTATTCAGATGCGACAAATTTTGATAGACACGCTCTGGAGTGACTTCCACAAACTCCGTGTTGTCTTCTAATGGTAACGGGTAGACGCCTGACTCTCGATCTAATGGTTGGAATTGACGCAACGGTTCTAATAAGGCCTCATTGATACCGTTAGCGATTTCAGACGGGGACAAGCTCTAAAAATCCGGAACATTCAGGGCGTTAAGAAGGTTCACATTATTATTACTTAAGTGAAAAGTTTTGCATTAATAGAGGCACTTTGCACATGAAGCGAGATGGTTTTAGCTTCCTAATATAAAGTATTTCATAAACAAGGCAGTTAAATTTGCTGTCACATTTCTTGAGAACATGAAATTGGTCACTTTAGAATCCCTGGAACATATAACCTAACCCCAGCGCTCTATAGCGAACATAGGAATGATGATGATTTAAGAGTATTCACCACTGTAGAGCGATGGGGTTAGTTTATATGGGTACCATCTGAGAGTTTATTTATGCATTATTTTATACCTATTTTCGTTATTTTATCGTAAAAGGCGTGCAACATCTGTAAAAGCAGTCAAACTAAGAACGTGACAATTTTGTAAGTCTTTGTAAGTTCCTTTCGTCGCTTGACCGCGGTTACCTTGTGCCGATGTATTGCGACTTGCTACAGACACTGAAAATCAAGAAACTCTTGCAAAATGTTTTAACAACAGAAGTCACCATTTCGGTTTAACGGTGCGTGAATTAGGGTTTTTGATGTTTTAATTTATAGCTGATAAGCACCAAGTAGATTAGAATAGTGACTTGGAGCAGGATGGTTTTTCTTGTTTTTGTTTTTGTTAATTGACCCTTGCTCACCATAGAGTCTCCTGTAGCTCAGTGGTTAGAGCATCCGACTAGATCACGGAGGGTCGTGGGTTCAAATCCCATCTGGAAACTCGATTTTTAAAAATTGTTTGTTTTTGTTTGTTTGTTTCTTTTTTTGTTTTAGTTGTGACCACAATATCAATTCTGGAGCAAGATGGTTTTTCTTGTTTTTGGTTTATTGTTTTAGCTGTGACCACAGTATTAATTCTCTTTACAGCCTCGCGGGTCAGAGGACCTTTTGTTGTCAGTATGTTGCGACACATGATTGTATTTTTCAGACGCAACAGACACAAAACTATTACGCAGGGACTAACATGGAGATGACGACCATTCTTCAAAGAATTCAAGCGCACCTTCTGACGTACAAGACCTTTTGCGTGAAATGAAGACAGAGAAAGTAAACAAAACAGGTAAAACGCACCAAAGTTTTATTCCCGAAAACATTACGAAAACATTTAGAAAGACCAACCTGTCGTCAGCTATGTTTGCGTCTTCTTATAATGAACACCTTGTACTGAAAAAAAAAAAAAAAAAANTGTGGCAAGTTGCAACACATTGTAACCGCGGTCAAGCGACGAAAGGAACCCTTAAAGAAAACAAATGCAGCACAGTGATATATGAAAACTAGTAAGCAGGGACTAATTAACAAGGAGATTAAGACCTTTCTTCAAAGAATGCAAGCGCAGCTTTCTGACGTACAAGACCTTCTGCGTGAAATGAACACAGAAAAAGAAAAAATGGATAATACGCACCGAAGTTTTATGCCCTAAAATATTAAGGAAACATTTAGAAGGACCAACCTGTCGTCAGCTTTGCTCGCGTCTTGTCATAATGAACACCTTGTATTGAAAAAAAAGAGAAAAAGGGGATTCAAAATCTTTCGATTGATTCTTTTCTCATCACGATGTCCGATCGATTCCGTCTCAAACATCTTGTTTTTCAGCAGCCTCCGTCTACTTTAATAAATCTTTCAAATGTAAAGTTGATTCCGAATCAAAATAAACATTGAATGTTTATTTCCTTGTAGTCAAGACCCACAACTGCGCTGACCTTTTCAAGTCTGGTGAGAGAATCAGTGGAGTGTACACCATATACCCGGGTAGCAACTACGCTCCTTTCGACGTGTATTGTGACCAGAAAACAGCTGGTGGAGGGTGGACAGTGATTCAGAAGAGATTGGACAGCTCAGTAGGTTTTTATCGCGACTGGGCCGACTACAAGCGTGGCCTCGGTGACCTGAATGGGGAGTTCTGGCTTGGGTTGGACAAGATGAATCAGTTGACTGAGGCAGGTAGGATCGTAATTCGAATAGAGCTGGAAGACACTAAGACACTAAGACACTAAGACACTAAGACACTAAGACACTAAGACACTAAGACACTAAGACACTAAGGGGAAAACAGTCGACGCCGACTACGACATGTTTGCTGTAGCAAGTGAGAAAGCCAGGTATCAACTGAGCCTTGGAACTTACTCTGGTGAGTAAATCATAGTTGGATGACCCATGAAAGATAAATTGAACAGAACAGGCACCCGAACCACAATGGGATCTCGCTTAGCCCGAAGTATAAGAAAAAAAAAATCACGTAAGAGAAACAACAAATACATAAAGCGAAGTGCTCATAACAGTACTGCCATATATGAATGAGAGGGAAGGAGTATTTTTTTAGCTTGTGACCGTCAATCAAACGCCCTACTATCATATCCATTTCTCCACAGGGACGGCTGGTGATTCTTTTTCTTACCATCGTGGCGCCCCTTTCTCAACTAAAGACCAGGACAATGATTCGGACAAACGTCAATGCGCTCTAACCTTTAAAGGAGGCTGGTGGTACAAAACCTGTTGCTATACAAACCTGAATGGCTTGTACCAACCAGGGCCACACTCATCCCATGCTGATGGTATGAATTGGTATCTCTGGAAAGGAGACCACTATTCTGCCAAGAGATCGGAGATGAAAATAAGGCCCGTAGACTGTTTCTTAGTCTATACTGCCGTGACAGAAGTTGTCAACTGATCATAAATAAAATCCATTGGATTGTATTTAAAGCGCCTTCATGTTTTGTGTATGTAAAACGTAAAAGAGAATTGCTATGTGGGAAGATTGCTTGAGGAACGGATCGCGCTCTCCCCTCCCCTCCCTTGCTAAATCTGAGGATTATAGTGAACGGAGATATAGATCGGCCGCACGTCCAATGTCGGAAATGATTAAGAGCCATATGTCCAATTTTGCAGTCCGAAATAACTTCAGCCACTCGAGATTTGTGACGGCGTCTATAGTTTTTTTTTTCCGTAAAAAAAGACCTAAAAGTTCAGATTTTCCTCTTTTTCTAAAAGAGCGAGAAACCTCAACTTTGAGACATGGGACGGACTCGTAACTCGTACATTTGGGATTTGGGAAGGATATGCAGCTCCGGCGTAGATTTCATTAAAAATTCGCATGAGAAACGGGATGTAATGGCTCTGTCTTTATCTTTTGCTACATTCACAAAAGAGATTGTGCTCACCTGGCGTGAGAGGCCATAACACATCTAGATAAAAAGAAAAAAAAAAGAGAAATCTTCATCCAGACCTTAGTAGATGTAAGAGTACTAATGTTTATGTGATTTGTAACACGTTGTGTGGGCTTATTACGATCAAACTTGCAAATTTGCACACGGAAATGATCTCTAAATAGAAACAGTTGACTCTCTTAAACGAATTAACAATTAACCTCCATCAATGACTTGCATTTCATTTCTCCCTACAATACCACCCCCCCTGAATCATACGATCAGGTGACGAGATTAAAGGAAATGATCGTCAAATTGATTGTTAACGTTAAACAAAGTTCTCTTTATCATACCTATTTCCACTGATAAATCGCAAAAGGTGACATTTTTAAAGCAGTTGAATCTGAGAACGCGACCGTTTCGTGAGTCCTCACGGGAGTTTTACGTCTGTTTTGCCTGCATAGTCAGGTATCGAAACATACTGACAAGAAAAGGTTCTTTGATTAGCTAAGAATAGCAATGATGTTGAGGTCACAACTGTCCAGAAAGGAAAGAAGAAAGGTAATCCTGCTCCTAGTCACGAGTCTAATCCAATTGGTGCATACCAGCGTTGTATTGTAATGTCAAAAAGCACATTCCTCGAGCAGTGAAACCGAAATGGCTGCTTCTGTCGTTACAGCGTTTTTCTTGTGTTCCTTGTTTTTCACGGTGTCTGTGGCGAGCCGCAAAACACTGGCACAAAGTAACAGTCGAGCGAGGAAAGGAAACTCACATGAAAACAAGTGCAGCACAGTGGTCAATGGAAACTATTACGCAGGGACTAACAAGGAGACGATGACCATTCTTGAAGGAATTCAAGCGCAGCTTTCTGAGGTACAAGACCTTCTGCGTGAAATGAAGACAGACAGAGGAAACAAAACAGGTAAAACAGAGTAAAGTTTTACCGAACTTAGAAAACATTTAGTGAAACCAACCTGTCGTCAGCTTTGTGTGAGATTTTCCTAAAAACCGAAGGGTGACCGATTTGACTATCTTGGGTCGAGCGAGTAGCTCAACCTGCCATATAACATCGAGTCCCCGCCTGACATCGAAAGATGCTTAATGGCCTACAAGAGGATTTTGGTTACTTGCCCTGCCTAAATAAACGAACTGTTAGAACTAAACAGCAGCCAGCACAGCAGAAGAAATAATCGAGGTGCTGATTTAACCATTTTACCTAGGAGATACATTGGAGAGAAAGAGTGAGGCCTCACGTTTTCTGCAATAATCTCAAGATGGAATAACTTTCCCTTTAAGCTAGCCACTTCTCAATCTGCAAATACTTTAAAGAATGCTTTGAATAAACATTTTAAATTAAGTAAGCTTAGGGATAAGATTATTTAGTCCTTTTTGTAGATAATTTATTCTTAGATTGCATGATATGAGCAATATGTTTTATCTTCAACTTTTAGATCTTGACTTGTTGTACATCGTGATTTTTAATTAGGTTTTAATCAAATTCTTAATTAGGTTATCAATTGATATATATCTATATATATATATATTATTGTGATAGTTTTTCGCGTAGTAATTACTGTGTTTGTTTATATGTGTCATCACGCCCTATATAAATCTATTTAAGGAATTTGTAAGTCATTGTATTACAACTGATGAAGGTCTCGGACCGAAACGCATTTTATTAAACTTTCTTAGACTTT